TCTGGTCAGAACCTTTAACAGTGGGTCTGAAGCATGGGTGTGTGAGATGTGGGGAATACACAGAGATGGAGTGGACATGACATGTCGTCCCTGCACACAAACAGGCGATGTAATGCAAATATCTATAACAAACGTAGCCGGTGCTTTAGCCCCATTGCTGGTCTCTCAGCCTTGAGGGCTCTGCTCGGGCCTCTGCTCGCACTAAACGGCAGGGTTCTCTGGAGTTTAGGAGCCGCAAGCCGCGACCCATTCAGAGCCGAAGCATAGGCCAGCTTGACACTGCAGCTATTCTGGGCACGCCTCTTGTTGAAGAGCCAAGCCATAGAGTGTCGGAACCAGGCGTAGGCGATTTGTTGCCAGCTTCCCTGGTTCGGGAAGTTGAACACCTTCGGGGATGCGGTTGCCGTTACTATCCGAAGCACTAAGCCGCAGCAACACAGAAAAATAATCCACGGTACACCCAAATCCCACGCTGGCGAGGCTCAAATCGATGCTGAGCACCGAAAGGCTGACTCTCGCCCTAGCAACGCCCCAAACTCCTGACCCCCGAGCGCCAAACTCATAAGCCCCAAGCCCTGAACCCCACAAGGGTCAACTGCTTGGGCATAGTCCTAGGTGCGATGGTGAGTGAAGTCTTTCACACAATTCCCAAGGGAGAGCCCCAAAAGGATGCCGCAAGATTCACAAGACCCAATATCGTCATGGCAGCGCATGTAAGCCATGATGAAGAGAGATAAGCTTCCTGAACGCAGACTGACCAATAAGAGGACTTGAGAATGAGCGAAGAAAGGAGTTGTACCACCACAAGCCAATACCACTCCCAATGGTTTCATTCTGTACTGCATGTCGTGTCAAACACCTCCGGACTCAAAGTGTAGCTCATCCAAAACCCTAAAGCCCTGAAACCCCTAAAACCCCTAAACCCGAAAACGCCCAAAGCCCCTAAAGCCCCTAAGCGCTCAACCCCAAAGCCCCCAAAGCCTAAACCCTAAGGCCAAAGCCCAAAGCCCAAAACCCGAAACCCTAAACCCTAAACCCTAAGCCCTAAACCCTAAACGCTAAACCCCCCCCCCTCCCCCCCCTCTCCCCTAAACGGCCCAAGGAGCGCGACACCATCAAGGCCAAGGTCACAGCGGCCTCGCCACCTGGCCGAGTTGGCACTTGCTTGGGGTTTGGGGTCTGGGGTTTGGGGTTTGGGGTTTAGGGTTTAGGGTTTAGGGTTTAGGGTTTAGGGTGTAGGGTTTACTTTGGAGGGTAGGGCTTGGGGTAAGCCTCTGAGACGCTAAGCCGGGTCATCCGTGAAAGTTAGACGTCGAAAGCTGATCCAGAACAAACGATCTCTGACCTGCTAAAAGAGGAAGCTTTTCCTCTAAAGCAAGATCAACCAAGCGAACTCGAGGAATCAAAGCCCTAAACCCTGAACCCTGTACCCTGAACCCTAAACCCTAAACCCAAAATCCTAAATCCTAAGCCCCAAACCCCAAACCCCAAACCCTAAACCCTAAACCCCAAGCCCTAAATCCTAAACCCTAAACCCCGGCCCCAGGAAGGATGACCTCCAAGCCCTCATCAACGCGCGGCTGAAGCAGAGCCTTTCCTGAGGCTGGGCTTAGGGTTTAGGGTCTAGGGTCTAGGGTCTAGGGTTTAGGGTTTAGAGTTTAGGGTCTAGGGTCTAGGGTTTAGGGTTTAGGGTTTAGGGCTTTAGGCTTTGAGGGTCTTAAGGTTTTTCAGGCTGGAGGAAAAGGGTCTTAAGGGTTTGGGGCACTATGGCTTTACAGGTTCAAAGGATGTAGGGCTTCTGGGTTTCAGGGTTGAGGGCTTTCGGGTTTCAGGGGCTTGTTTTCAGGGGGGTTCGGGTCTTGGGGTTGAGCGCTTGAGAGCTTCGAGCCCCACCCTAGCGGACAAGGGGCTTAGAGAAGGGTAGGGTGGAATTGGTTCGTGGAATTGGTTCTCGTAATCCTTGCAACCAGGACCCCAAGCTTCAGGGACCACGGGCACTACCATGACGAAGTCTGCAGTTGTTTGCAGCATCCTCAGCCCTGAAGCTCTGAGTCCCCCAGCTTATACATCCGACAGGCCCCCCCCCCCCCCCCCCGCGTGTCAGAGTCATGAGGCCAAGGCGAAGCGCACACAGATTAAAAGATGGTATCTGGTAGAGGCCCAGCAAGGAGGATGCGATCTTCAGTGGCTTCTCAGGTCATAGTAGTGGCAGGCCCGAAGCCCCATATAATTAAGGTTCGGAGTTCAGCGCTTTCTTTGTCACATAGTTCTTACTTTTCATCTCGATACCCAAAAAACCCTAAAGCCCCAAACCTTACGCGTAAAGCCCTCTAACCCAAAGCGCCGCACCCCAAACCCGAAAAGCTTCATCAAATACCCTAAAAGCCCTAAATCCGACCAAATGCCAAATCCTCAAGCCAAGAAAGCCCTGCCATTTAAACCCTAGAACCCTTTCACCCCAAACTCCTCAGAACCCTAAACTTTCCTCAAAACCCCGAAAAGCCCTAAAACCCCTAAACGCCCCAAAAGTTCAAAAAGCCCTGACTTCTAACAGCCCTAAGCGCCCCAAAAGCCCTAAAGCCCTAACAGTCCTGAGGGCGGTAGGCGGTGGGCGTTTATTCTGGATCGCCGGCGCTTGGCACTGGGAACTGTCTGCAGGCGTCTGGCGGCGGCTGGCCCTGGCAAACTCAGTGAGGTACCCGCGACTATAGTCTCCTCAGAATTATGTTCGTTTTTTGTTTGTATGAAGCCCCAGGGGCTGTTTTAACGTATGATGTTTATGGTGGTTCTAAGGGGAGTATAGGTGATGTTTGCAGCACACCAGTGCACACTGGTTAGAGACAGTGCGAGTGTTCGCTGCAGCAGAGCACTCGGCAAAGATGGAGGAACCCTGTGCAGAAGAAGATACGCGACTTACACCAAGGGTACCATTCTTGCTCTGTGATTCCCTTATACACCTAATAAAAGCCCAATAAGAGTCCCCCCCCCCCCCACCCATTTGGTTTTAATGGACGATCAGGTTTCGATGGCGAGGTTTGAAGACTTGCGGGCTTCATGATCTCCTTGGGCGGGAGGGATGGGGGGTTGCGGAGGCCTGGGCAGGAAAGTCAGCAACTTAAACCTTGGGCCCTCAAAATACACAGTGTTCAATACAGGAGCCTCGAGAATCACCAAGATCATACCATATAATTCGAGCATAATCTACCCAAGCCGCCCGTTGCAATTGAATTAGATGGGCTCCTAAACCCAAAACCCTGAACCCTAAACTACCCTAGGCCCTAGACCCTAGACCCTACACCCTAAACCCTAAAACCTAAACCCTAAACCCTAAACCCTAAGCCCTAAACCCTAAACCCTAAACCCATAGGGCCGCTGCGCCCTTATCTGTGAATCTCTGCTCTGGCAGCATGCCGAACATTCCATCTGCTGCAATCGCTCGTAATTCGTGAACGTGCTGACAAGCTTCGCTCTTTAAAGATGAGAGGGCTTCGGGAATCAGGGACGCGAGCTGCCTTCAACCCTACGAAACACAGACCCTTAAGACCCTCAACAGAACCCCTCCCCTCCCACCTCCTGTTTCCCCAAAACCAGGAGAGAGTCCTTAGGGGGACCAGTGTTTTTGTTTGGGTGTTTTTTGGGTTGTAGAGCTTAGAGTCAGAGGTATGCCGTTGCACTTTGGTTTTTGCGATGTCATTAGGTTTTGGGGTCTTCTGTCCCAACCCACCAAGAACTGGATCAAACCCACCTTGCCCCGACCACGGTTTAGGGTTTCGGGTTTAGGGTTTAGGGTTTCGGGTTTAGGGCTCGCACTCCTCAAATCCAGCCCCCCCCCCCCCCCCCCCCCCAACCAACGCAAAAAGCCCAAAGCTCTCTTCACTCCCAACCTCAGTCCGAACCCCGCGACCCTGAATCTGCATTCCCCTAAACCCTAAACCCTAAACCCGAAACCCTAAACCCTAAACCCCAAACCCTAAACCGAGTCCCTGACTCCCAAAAAGCCTGAGTCCCCAAAACCCTCAAAAAAAATCCCAGCCGAGAACCGAGTGAGGTGCCGAGATGAGAGCCCGGCCAGTCCGTGGCCCCCGTTTCACACGAGAAGCTGCCGAGTCGAGTCCCAGGGCTCCTTCAAAGAATGCAGAGAGAGTTCAGGGTGGAGAGGTTTAGGGTTTAGGGTCTATCAAGGCTCCGGGACGAACCTCTGTTGTATATGATTTTTTGCGCCGGCTAACTGTGGACTGAAAGAAAAGCTCGAGCTTCATGCGCCCGGGTTGGTCTCAGGGAGCTTCCGCCTACCCTGCCTTGAGACCCTTGAGCTCCCCGTAAGCCTTGAAGCCCTAGCAACCCTGTGCCGTTCAATCCTCAAGCCCTACTTGGAGGTTCATGGCACTTACTAGCCAATTATAACTGTACTGATAACCCACTTATAAGCCCCTTAAGTGCCCTAATATGGTTACAAGTACAGTTATAGGTACGGTTATAAAACCAATAAGTACTAGAACTTCCAAGTAGACCCAACAGCTAAAGCTGACAACCCTGAACCTAAGTCCTCTCTTTATAAGCCTTAACACCATACACACCAAATTCTATACCCCAAACTTTCAACTACAAGCCCTACAGTAAACTCCAGAAAATTGAAACATGGTTTAAGGATGATTAGACCTAGGATTCCCTTTAGTATACCGTTTGGGGCTATGGGGATAAGGATGTTTCAACTGTTTAGACTTTACTGTAAACCCCCCAATCCATGATCCCCAAGCCCTCAACCCCAAAGCTCTAAACCCCAAATCCCAAACAACCCTAAACCCTAAACCCTGAACCCTGAACCTTGAACCCTGAACCCTGAACCCTGAATCCCCTGAGCCCCAAACCCTAAACCTTAAACCCTAAACCCTAAACCCTAAACCCTAACCCTAAACCCTAAACCCTAAACCCTAAACCCTAAACCCTAAACCCTAAACCCTAAACCCTAAACCCTAAACAGAGCAGGCGCCGCCGTAGGCATGGCCCTGGCGCGTCGCCGGGCATGCAGTGCAGGCCTTCTTGAACTGTCTAGGGTTGAGGGTTTAGGATTGAGGGTTTAGGGTTTAGGGTAACAAGGGCTTAGGGCTTAGGGCTTAGGGTTGAGGGTTTAGGGTTTAGGGTAACAAGGGCTTAGGGCTTAGGACTTAGGGTTTGGGGTTGAGGGTTTAGGGTTTAGGGGAACGAGGGCTTAGGGCTTAGGGTACCAGGCCTTGTTGAACTGATCAAGTCTGAGGGTAACAAGGGCAGAGGGCTTTAAGGTATCAGGGGTATATCGTGGTAGTGAGTTTAGGCTTCTGTGTGGAGGGCTTCGGGTTCAGGCAGCAGAGGTTCGGTTCGCTACAGACTGAGCAGCACCCCTTTCGGTAGCGTTACAGTAGCATTTCGTTTAAGGTAGGTTTCATGGTCAACAGCTCAGTTCAGGGGATTCGGGTCTTTCGGGGAGCAGGTCTAGTGGTATGGCTCGGGTTTTAGGATTCTGGGGTTTCAGTGCTGTGCTTGTTGGTTCTCGAGTCCTGGCAATGTAAGGGCCGGCAACCTTGAACCCTAGCACCGGAATAGCCTCAACTCTAAACCTTAAACCATAAACTTTGAGGGCCCTAGAATCCAAGGCTAGGGGGCGACCAGCCCTGAACCCTCATACCCGAACCTCTCTTGTTCGTTGCGCTTCAGGGTCTTCGCTGAACTCTGCCAACACAGCGGAGAGCAACTCCCTCCCTGGAGCCTAATTGCCGTTCCCTGCTGGTTTAGGCCCCACACCCCCCCCCCCCCAAAAAAAAAAAAAAAAAAAAAAAATTGGGAAGCCCCCAAAAGTTCTACCCTCAAACTTCGCCATACACCCTTCGAAGCCCTAAGCAAAGCAGTCTTGGGAAGTCGGGCTTTTGCGGTTGGGCCCAGGAGCACCGAAACCCTGAACCCTAAACCTAAACCCTCAATCTAAAACCCTACACCCGGACCTGGGTTTAGGCGCAGGCTGCGCCCAGGCGACCAAGGACCGGGCGCTGGTGTAAGAAACCCTAAACCCTAAGCCCTAAACCCTAAGCCCTAAACCCTAAACCCTAAAGCCTAAACCCTAAACCCCAAACTCCAAACCCCAAACCCCAAACCCCAAACCCTAAACTCTAAACCCTAAACCCTAAACCCTAAACCCTAAACCCTAACCCTAAACCCTAAACCAAGGACCATCTCGGGGCTGAGAGGTTTTCGAGGTTCGCGGCTCGCGGCTCAGGGTGCGGGGCCTCGGGTCCCTGGGGCGCTTGGGATTCAGGGCCTTTGGTTCCCAGTACGGAATAGGTAGGGTTTAGGGTTTAGGGTTTAGGGTTTAGGGTTCACAGGGTTCAGGGTTTCGGGCTCTCCTCCCAAAACATCCGCAACCCCAGGAGGACAGCGACAGCATCCGCAGTCCCGTCGAGCTCCAGCAGCCAGACGCCCGGAAGATACCCTATACCCTAAACCCTAAACCCTCAACCCTCAACCCTCAACCCTCAACCCTCAACTCTAAACCCTAAACCCTAAAACCCCGCCATCCACCCCTCTCACCCTGTTGGGCGGTCGAGCATTCAGCGAGGCCGTGGTAGGTAGGCTTTGCTAGAGCTGCAAAGTCTGCAAGGCACACCCCTGAGGGGACGCAAAGCTGGAGTCGCCTGGCCCAGTCACTGAAACCCCACACTTTTGCTCTCGGGTCGCCCCTCCCATTGAAAAAAAGGGCTTCGGAGACTCCAGTGAACTTTCACATCTTGGACCCCCCCTGGAAGCTGGGGGGAAAACTGGCTTTCCAAAGAGCCTCTGAAAGGGCACCTGCCTTTGGAATCCGGAAGATACTGGGTTTAACCTTAAGTCAAACGTAAAGGCTCACAACAGGCCCTGCCCTCCCTTACCCCGGGGCGCCCAGGCTGTCAGAAGGAAGGTCGTGCGACAAAGGGGTTTTCGAAAGCCTGGAAGCAATAGCAGAGGTCCCGAGTTCGGGGGGCCGGGCAGCAGCCGGCGAGAAAGGGTGCTTTGACCTTGGATTTCGTACAAACCATACTAATAGCTATGCCGACCACCGGACCGACAGAGTAGGGGGCAGGGAGCGGAACACCCATATGCTTGGGGGTTCAAGACCGGACTCCAGCTAAGCTAACCCTGTCCATTGCCTTGGGTGTTGGGACTTCTTTGAAATTAAGGGTTATAAATATTGGCGAGTGTGCAGACTGGGTGTCCTTCTTGGTGATATCAGTAATATGAACAGTACTAGCATCAATAGTATTCGTCACATTCATAATATTCATAGCACAATAACAACATAGATATTATTAGTAATTATGAAAAGCCCTGCTTTAGTTATGTGGATGGGTGACTCGGGTCCCCGCACTTCAGGCGGCTGCCTTACGACCTCAGCGAGGAGGAGAGATGCAGTCGGGGCCGAGCAACGTCGAGTCTATGGAGTTTAAGGTTTAGGGTTTAGGGTTTAGGGTTTAGGGTTTAGGGTCTACAAAGCCTAGGGTTTAGGGTCTTTAGAGTTTCGGGCTTCGGGTTTTGCTGGCCTATGGTGTCGGGTCAAACGGCTTTCATGTTTTTGGGACTCAGGGTGGGGGATGCTTGGGCGACAGTCCATTTTTGCATCCCGGGTGCCTATACTTGGTAGCCCAGTGGTACCCTTGACCCTGTTTTTTGGTTCTGGGTTCCTTATAAAGTAACCAACCCCAAAAAAGGGTGCCCTGAATATGGCTACGGGCTACTAAGTACATCTTATTGTGACTCCTAAGCCCGAAACGCCTCGCATGTCACAAGTTGCCCGAAGCATGCTTGAAACCCCAAAAAGCCCTAAATCTGCGTTTAGGGTTTAGGGTTTAATTAGGGTTTAGGGTTTAGGGAAGCCTTAAGCCCTCAGGAGCTGCTTGAGTTCGAGTTGGCGGACGAAGACTTGTCTCTTTGCGAGGAGGAGGCGGTCTCGGGTAAAGGGCTCAAGCAACCTAAGCCCTAAACCCTAAACCCTAAACCCTAAACCCTAAACCCTAAACCCTACACCCTACACCCTAAACCCCAAACCCTAAGCCCCCAAAAACCCTGAGAGCCCCGAAGTGCTTCCTTGCCCGGTCAGCTTGTGTGGGTTGGAGATGCCAGGGTTTGGAGCTGCCTTCTTAGTCTACTAGTTGCTTCAGAGCCCCAAAAGAATAAACAAAAATGAAATCCCTATGTTACCCTTAATAAGGAAAATTATTTTTAGTTTTTTTCGAGATTCTTAAGCACATAGTAGTAGTGGATGGGTCTCCTGCATAGTCCGATCTCTGCGTTCCCAGTTCCTTCGCAGCCCTTAAGGCAGGGAAGCCGTGCTGACCCCGAATAACCGTGAGCCCTGAACCCTGAACCCTACATCCTGAACCCTCTACCCTCAACACTCTAATATAAGGAGTACCCTAAGCCCTATGAGGAGTACCCTAAACCCTACAAGGAGTGTACCCTAAACCCTATAAGGAGTGTACCCTAAACCCTACAAGGAGTGTAAGCGGTCCTGTTCATCACGCGAATCGAGCCCGTTTCCGAACGCCCAGCTGAAGCCTGAACCTGACTGGGTTTGGGTGTTGAAGGTTTAGGGGTTTAGGGGTTAGGGGTTAGGGTTTAGGGTTTAGGAACCAACCCTTGTCGGAGGCCCAACGAGTTAATGCCTTATAGACACCTCGAACCCTGCGTTTCGACTGGGCTCGGTTTTGGGAGGAGGCGGAGTGGCGGGAATACGACGAGGAGGCTGGCCGATGCCTGCTAGTAGATGGTCCAAGGACGGGCCTCTTCATGGCATGACCTACGCAGGCGGCAAAGCTTATTCCCTGACCTTACTGTCCAGACAAGGCAGTCATACCAGAGAATTTCATGTCGAGTGTAGGTTTGCGGAGCGCAGGGGGGGCTTCTCAGTATGCGGGGAATCGTGTAGGAGTTCAGGGGTATAGGGGACATTGCAAGCGGCTGGGGCCACTCGGACTTTAAGTTTTTGGCTCCTGGGACTTGGGCACTTTAACGCTGTTGGGCGGTTTTCGGGTTCGGGGCTTCATGGGGCTTTGAGGCAATTGCGGGGGCCCCTCAAGAGAGTGCCAAGCGCAAATGAACCGCCTGAAAATTCTTCCTGCCTCGTGTGAACACGTGCGCCGGACTTCGGCTCTTTGGACGAACGCTGTGCAAGGCAACCCCTACGTAAACCCTAAAGCCTAAACCCTCCCCCTAAACCCTAAACCCTAAACCCTAAACCCTAAACCCTAAACCCTAAACCCCAAACCCTAAACCCTAAACCCTAAACCCTAAACCCTAAACCCTAAACCCTAAACCCTAAACCCTAAACCCTAAACCCTAAACCCTAAACCCTAAAGCCAAAAGCCTAAAGCCTAAAGCCTAAACCCTAAAGGCTAAACCCTACACCCCTAAACCCTACACCCTAAACCCTAAACCCTAAACCCTAAACCCTAAACCCTAAACCCTAAACCCTAAACCCTAAACGCTACACTCCAAACTCCTCAACCCTGAGCCGGGGTTTGTTCTAAAGGTCCTTTTAACCCTAGTAGGTACTGTAACCTTTATATTTTTTCGGGTAGTATAATCCCCTTACAATCCCAAAGGTTAACCTTGAATTCCCCCAGGTCACTGGACAACTAACTGGATGAACCATGGAGATAAGAGGGAACTGTAGACTTGGAGAGCCCGGAGCGCCAAATTTCCGCTTGAAAAGGACGCCAAGACCCGATTTTTCATGAGCAGCGAAGCCAGTGTGTGCTACGACTCCCTATTTGGAGGGTTTAGGGTTCAGGGTTTAGGGTTTAGGGTTCTCGGAGCATTTAGGGTCAGGGTTCAGGCAGGGTTCAGGGTTTAGGGTTTAGGGTTTAGGGTTTAGGGTTTAGGGTTTAGGGTTTAGGGTTTAGGGTTTAGGGTTTAGGGTTTAGGGTTTAGGGTTTAGGGTTTAGGGTTTAGGGTTTAGGGCCCCTGGTTTTGGTAACTCGGGCCTGCAAGCTGGTCGAGATTAAGTCGAAGCCAGGTGCAGCAATTCCGTGAGCTGATGCTCCAGTGCGGGGCAGATCCCACGAGTTCGTCTTCGAGGTGTTAGGGTTTCAGGTTTGGGGTTCCGGGTTTAAGGTTGCTCATAATCTTGGGGGTTTCACGCACTGTGGCAAATAGAATCGCGATCACCGTAGCGTTGACAGTCCTCGCCGTAGAAAACAGAGAACCTAAACCCTAAACCCTAAACCCTAAACCCTAAACCCTGAACCCTAAACCCTAAACCCTAAACCCTAAACCCTAAACCCTAAACCCTAAACCCTGAACCCTGAACCCTGAACCCTGAACCCTAAACCCTAAACCCTAAACCCTAAACCCTAAACCTAAATGCACCAAAGTGTAAGGGGTCATTTTCGGGGGCGCCCAGCGCCTGTAGTACAGCAACTTCCAGGTCTGGCGGAGAGCCTTTTGCAGGGGCCCCCAAGGAAAGGTGCATGGCCTAGAGAACTGACCAAATCCCTCCTAAGCAAACATTGTGACTGTTAAATGGTGTTTACTCTTCTGATTCTTCCTTCTTGGTGTTTTCTTGAATACCATGACCATCGTGGGCATTGTAATCTAAGATTTAGGACTTATGGCTTGATGATTTGATGATTGGATGTTTTGATGATTTGATGATGATGATGATGATGATGATGATGATCATGATCATGATGATGATCATGATGTGCCGCTATTTGTATGGTTGCGCTGTAGGTGAACCGGTGTACCCTGACATGGTTCTGCCCGGGCCGTCTTTTTGTGATTGGCAGGTTGGCGCTGGATGATGCCAGTTCGACACTCAGGGGTGGAGGGCCTGAAGACAGAAACCCTCAACCCTAAGGCCAAAAACCCTAAGCCCTAAACCCTAAACCCTTAACCCTAAACCCTAAAATCCTAAATCCTTTGGCCAGCAAGTGCAGGCCGTCATCCGTATAGGCTGAAGCCCAGGGGTGCACGGGTACGAGTGTAGGGAAGGCCGAGGCCCTAAACCCTAAACCCTGAACCCTAAAGCCTAAAGCCTAAAGCCTAAAGTCTAAAGCCTAAACCCTAAACCCTAAACCCTAAACCCTAAACCCTAAACCCTAAACCCTAAACCCTAAACCCTAAACCCTAAACCCTAAACCCTAAACCCTAAACCCTAAACCCTAAACCCTAAACCCTAAACCCTAAACCCTAAACCCTAAAGTGCCTTAGCTCATGTAAAAAGCTGCAGGTCGTCATATACCTTTTTACCAAGAGCAGCTGTTTTGGCTCAAGCTTCCTTCTGGCTCTCAAAAAACAGTGCCACAAGAGTTTCCCGACCTCCCCCTTTCCATGGCACTGATTACGCTGTCTCGGCCTGAAGGTGCGGAGGTCCTTGATGTCCTTCCGTCTCCTGCCCGACAGCAGTCGCACTCGGGGCCGCTACGGAGAACGAAACCCTGCATCAACCGGCGTCTCTAGTCAGAACATTGCAGTGTCGAACAGCTTCAAGCACTTGTCAAGAAGAGAGGACGCCTGTAAAACTTGGACCCAAAGCGATGCTGGATCATATAAATGAAAGGCAGGCAACCATGGTGCTACTTGCAAATCTTGTGCAAGCCTGACAGCACACGTGACGTTTTCGTAGAGCGAAGCCACTGCTCCTGAGCCTGCTTGGCGCTGCTCTCCCATCATGGTTGGTCCTTCACGAGCACCCTCCGCACCTGTTGTTTGAGGCCCCGTCCTGGCACGACCTGGGCCTGGGCGCTCCAGCAGCATGCTTCCTGTTTCCCCACTCGCCCGTGCTCGGCCTCGGCCGTGCGCTCTGATCAGGACTTCCATTCCTAGCCGACTTCTTCCCCCCTCCTCCCGTGCGTTTTGGCTCTGCTCGAAATTGGGGGGTTGGCTTCTTTGACTGATTTTGTGTGCCCCTACCTTGAAATGCCTCGAGTGTCTTGGAGGGCCCCTTATCATGTAGATGTCAGAACGCTCACAACCCCATCGTGCCGTGCTTCGAAACCGGGGACTGTCCATGCTTTGGAGGGTTAGAAGGACGGTTAGGGGGTTCGGGTTTAAGGTTCAGGGTTTCGGTTTCGGGTTTAGGGTTTAGGGTTTCGGTTTAGGGTTTAGGGTTGAGGGGTACGAGCCCGAAGCTTCATTGTCAAACCCGAAGCCGGCTTCAGGTTTTGGTGCTCTCGACGGTGAAGGCGCGTGAAAGCAGCTTCGAGTAAATGAAGTTTGCGGGACTGCCTGAATGACCTCAAGCTCTGAGCCCAACTTGCTTGTAAAATCTCTCCCTAAACCCTAAGCCCTAAACCCTGAACCCTCGACGCACAAGAAACTACACCTTCTTCAACCTTACAAAACCCCTACAAACCCTAGCCACGAGGCCCTTAAGCCCCCCTAAGACCCAAAATCCTACGCCCCAAGCCCTAACCCTACACCCTACACCCCCCCAAAACCCTGCAAGGCTCTCCACGCCAAGAGGGCGCAGAGGAGTCTGAACTGGGTCCGGAGCCGACTGGAAGGTTTCATGTTGAGAACTACAAGTTTTAAGGGTATGACGGGGACTTGGATGGGTGGTTTTAGGGGTCTGTTGGGTATTTAGGGGTGTTTAGGGTGTGAGTTTTGGGGTAGGGTTAGCGGTCGCCATAGCAAAGTTAGTTTCCCCTTGGTGCTGTGCCTGGCTTGGGACTTCAGGGTTCAACCCTAAACCCTAAACCCCAAACTCTTAAACCCTAAAACCTTCTACCCTAAACCCCAGACCCTAAACCCGACAGAAAAGCGTCAAACCCTAAATGCTAAACCCTAGACCCGACAGAAAAAGACTCAAACCCTAAATAGTAGCTGAGTAGGTAGCCTTTAGCCTGTTGGGGTATATATAATCCTACCACAAATGGAAGCAACTACTTGGAGGTTCATGGTACCTCATAACCCAAGTATAACTACACTTATAACCCAATTGTTACCAATAATAGGGCAGTTAAGTGGCTTATAAGTGGGTTATAAGTACAGTTATTGTTGGGTTATAAGTATCCTAGACCCTAAACCCTAAACCCTAAACCCTGAAACCTAAAACCTAAAACCTAAAACCCTAAACCCCTAAACCCCTAACCCCTAAACCCTAAACCCTAAACCCTAAACCCTAAACCCTAAACCCTAAACCCTAATCCTAAAAAACCCAAACCCCCTGAACCCTAAACCCCGCAGCTCTGGAGCCCAGGTCTTGGCGAGGGCTCGCTGCTTTCGGAGGCGTGCCGAAACTCGGGTGCTTTGAGCCCTTTGGATGTGGCTTTAGGGTTTAGGGTTTAGGGTTGAGGGTTTGGGGAATAGGGTTTCGGGGCTCAGGAGTGGAAGGTTTGGGTTTTGGGGCTTCGGAAATGCTTGTTTTGGTAGGTGTTATGCGCTGGGGCCCTAGAGTCCCTAAACGCCAAACGCTAAACCCGAAACCCTAAATCCTAAACCCTAAACCCTAAACCCCCTGCACCCTCTGAGACCCCAAAAAGTCAACGCAGGCGCAAGTGAGGGCCTTCTTGCAAAGCCAGCTTGCCGACAAAGGCTGCGAGGGACTTCAGGGCTGCGAGGAGCTTCAGGGCTGAGTTGAAGAAGGGCTGGAAGTCGAAGAGTTAAGGCACGGGATGGGGAAGTTTAGGGTTTAAGGCTTGATTGAGGTTTTGGGTTTACGATTTAGGGTTGTAGCGTTGAAGCGCTTAAGCTTTATATTGCAAACCCAAACTTTACTTTGTAGCTCCAAACTTCAACCCGCTTCAAGGTGTTTGGGGGGCTTACAGCGGACCAGGTTTTCCCAAAGCTCTAGGCACTGAATAGGGCACTTGCGATTGCAGCCTTGGAAAGTACAGTGGCCTGACACTTATTGACATGCTGTAATGTTGAAGCTTGAGAGCGGAAGCTGAAGAGTTTAAAGGCAGTTGGGTTCACAGTTTCGGGTTTCAAGGAGTTTGCCCCTTGGAAATCACCGGGGTACAGTTTTCCCGGTTTTCCTAGTAAGGACTTCAGGTTCGGTTTACCCAACATCGCTTCTGCCCCCAGGCTCCCCCAACATGAGCCCCACGTAAAGCTATGAACCACCGGAAGCCCCAAACCCAAGGTCGACTTCTCTCCACTTACTGTTGGGTTTAGGGTTTAGGGTTTAGGGTTTAGGGTTTAGGGTTTAGGGTTTAGGGTTTAGGGTTTAGGGTTTAGGGTTTAGGGTTTAGGGACGCTGTAGCGTCCTCACAAAGGCCCGACGGATGCCATAAATCCAAAGCCTTACGGAGCTGAGACGCAGCAAGGGGGTTTAGGGTTTGGGGTTGAGGGTTTAGGGTTTAGGATTTAGGTTTTAGGGTTTAGGGATCCATGCCCCCCCCCCCCCCCAGGTGCACTCAACCCTGAACCTTGTGCACAGGTGGCAGTTCTGCGCCCAACGGCGCTCCCCAGCCAGAGGTGCACGACCGACAAGCGAAACCCTAAACCCTAAACCCTAAACCCTAAACCCTAAACCCTAAACCCTAAACCCTAAACCCTAAACCCTAAACCCTAAACCCTAAACCCCAAACCCTAAACCCTAAACCCGCTGTTGCAGGAAGGGCCTGGTGCTCCGCCTCCTTGGGTCCCGCCCTTGGGAGCGCAGGGCTTGACAGCTTTGGGGTTCTGGGTTTAGGGATTTAGGGTTTGGGGTTTCACTGGTTTAGGGTTTAGGGTTTAGGGTTTCAGTCTAGAGGGGCTACGGCGGGCCGTGATGGTTTGCAGTAGGAGTGAGAATGCAGCTGATAGGGTGTGCATTCTGTAGGGTTGTACATTCTACAGGGTTGTCGGGGTTACAGTGGGGTGATAATGCAGTTGATAGGGCTCGTAGGGTTTGTTGTACGCTTGGTATATGGCAGGGCTTCGGAATTTAGGGTAAGGCTACCGGGGTAAGGGTCGTAGTGTTTTCCGTTTCAGGGGGTTTAGAGTTAGGGTTTTTGGCTTGAAGGGTTTGGGGGGTCAGGGGGCTTAGGGCCATTTAGAGGCTTAAGGGCTTCTGGCAATAGGGTTGAGGGATCTTTCGTCGGTCTGTTGCATGCAGGTCTGCATGGAGCGGGTCGTGTGTAGGCTTGCAGGCCTTCTTTTGATTTCACGGCGGGTTTACGAAGATAAGTGACCCTAATATAGACCCCTTATAGTAGGTGTCCCTTATAAAACGGACCCCTAGAAGGTACCCCTAATATCGGAAACCCCCACCTGGTAACAGCTCTTCGTTCAGGGTGTACTTGGAGGTTCATGGTACCCATTAACCAATTATAACTGTGCTTGTAACCCACTTAGAAGCCCCTTAAGTTCCCTAAAATGGTTATAAGTACAGTTATAATTGGTTAATAACTACCATGAACCTCCAAGTAGCGCTTATGTTGGGGGCTTGGTGTCAAGAATGCCAAGAGCCTCGAGAAGTGCAAGACCAAGCAGGCTGTTGCAAAGGTTGCTCCGAGCCTTGGTGTAGGGTTTAGGGTTTAGGGTTTAGGGTTCTGGGTTTGGGGAAATTTGTGCGTCCCAGAAACCTGGACACTCAGCTGCCGGTACTCTGAAGAAGTTGAATCACAAGCAAGCAACATCGTAAGCAACATGGTTGGTTTAATCAGAGATGGCGGACCTGCCTAGTATGCGGCTAAAGCCCACTGCAACCGCTTCTTGTGAGCCGTGGGGCAAACCGAAGTGGACGAAGCCCGCTGCTCGTATCGTGTCGAATATGCCTCATTTCTAAACCCTAAACCCTAAACCCGAAACCCGAGACCCTAAACCCGAAACCCTAATCTTGAACCAAGGTGCCGGCAGCAGTTCCTTTGATGAACGGCGCCCGCCTCAGCTTCCGGGACCTTACCTGTCACCAGCCGATGTGAGCCGCAGCAGCGCCGCAAGCTCGCACGGTTCACAGTTAGGGTTTAGGGCGGGTTTGGGGTTTAGGGTTTAGGGTTTAGGGTTAGGGTTTCGGGCAGGTAGGACTGACCGACACTGATGTGGGGGTTTCTGAAAATTTGGGGTACCTACTTTGGGGGTCCTTATACAGGGGATGATGCGATATTTGGGGTATAGGCGTACCCTATTTTGGGAAACGCCCATGTGGGCACGAAGATTAGCCGTATTGTTGACTCAATCGTTGAACTTCAGATATTTTATATTTTCCTTGCTTGGGTTTATAAGGGACCCTATATACAAATTTGTTTCAAGGGGTTTAAAAGGCCAACCCCTACCTGGCTTACTTGCAAGTGTCTGCCTCAACACCCAACCTTGCCCCGAGTTGGCAACAGACCCAGGTGCCCGACAGCTGCCTGAGGAATACCGCGAGCGCGGGGGGCCTCGTGGGGGTTCGGGGGGGTAGTGCCCTCCCTCCGCACTGTTATTAAACCCGCTCGAATCGTGCGAGTGCATTCGAACTGTACCTGGAAGGTCCTCATTTCCATCATTCACAATAGGAGTAATTAGTACATCTCGGGTGAAGGGGGGAAGGGAGGGGGAGGAGCAGGGGGCGTGCATTCGTGTTGAGTTTTTAGCGGCTTGCTCTGCCACGTAGGAACAGGAGTTTAGGGTTAAAAGCTGTTTGAGGCTGGTAAGTGGAGGGTTGATGCTGCAAGTCGTAGTGTCCGAACATTGGAGGCGAGATTCTATCGGCCCCACAAACCCGATAAGCCACACTAAACCCCACGGAAGCCAGCCCAAGCCCGTCTTTTGGGGAGTTTATGAAAGTAGGGGTGCCCTTTCTGGGTTGCTTGAAGGGGTTTCTTTTCTATTTGGGGTACAAGAGGGGTAGATCATCTCCGGGGCTCCCTGAATCCAAAACCCTGAACCCTTAGCCCCAAACCCTCAGCCCCAAAACCCTAAGCCCTAAACCCGAAGCCCCAAAGCCCTGAAACCTAAGCCCCCAAACCCCAAACCCCGAACCCTAAACCCTAAATCCTAAGCCCTAAACCCTAAACAGCACACCTGTAAACCTTAAACTACAAGAGCCCGAGCAAACAAAACTCGCAGGGCTGGTGGAGCACGAGGGCGGGGTGGTGGTGAGCGACACGCAAGGCTGGTTGCAGGGCTGGGGTTGATCTTCGAGAGTTTATGGTTTAGGTAAGGCTTTACGAAGGGGTCTTGGCAGCTTCTCTTCGGGGCTTTTTTTGGTCAGTCGGCCCAAGTCTGAGCGTGATGGCACACGATCAGTTCTCCATTGTACCTTTTTGAGCCCCTGTCAGAACACGACCCCTTGTTGTCCCTTTTTGGTCCCCTGTCAGACCCTAAACCCTAAGCCCTAAACCCTAAACCCTAAACCCTAAACCCGAAACCCTAAACCCTAAACCCTGAACCCTAAACCCTAAACAGAATACGACCCCTTGTATTTAGGGTTTATAGGGTTGTAGGGTAAGGGACATGGTGGGCACATGGTCCGTTTCATGACCATCCTCAAAGTCGCTGGCATGTCCCTGTTTGCCGTTTTTTTTGGCTTAGGCTAAAGGGTTTAGGGTTTAGGGTTAGGGCTTAGGGTTTAGGGTTTAGGGTTTAGGGATTGAGGTTTGGCGTCTAGGGTTGAGGGTTCAGGGTTGAGGGGAACCTTGTGCCCTAAGCCCTAAGCCCTCAACGGATCGATGGCCCGCATGGATAAATTGTCCTTTGCCGAGCTTAGCGCCCTCCCAAAAGAAATCCCGAAGTCCCAACATACTAACTTCCAAAACCTTCAACCGGAAACCCCAAAGAGGGGCCTCAAACCCTGATTCAAGCCGTAAACCCTAAACCCTCAACCCTCAACCCCAAACCCGAAACCCTAAACCCTATAAAGCCCAATTGAATCAATCCGTTGGAGGCCCGAACGCCCTCGTCCTTATCAGCCACGTGCCGGACCAGCCACTGCTGTGCCCCGACGGCTTTGGCAGTTTGGGGTTTCGGGTTTAGGATTTTGGGTTCAGGGTTTAGGGCTCTTGGGGTATCTGAGCCGTAGGGCGAGGGTGACGCCGAGCAAGGTCTTTAAGGGCTTTAGGCTTCCAGGCTCTGAGGCGATGGTTACAGGCTGGCGGCAAAAGACTTTGCAAGAGTCCCTCCCTCCCCCCACAAGGAGAGGCCTTCCAATTTTTCTGACTCTAAGCTGCAGCAGCTGCACACCTCCCGGAACTCGTGGCAGGCTTCCGATGGTTTCGGAGACCTTCCGCCTGCAGAAGGTGAAAATTGTGTGCCGTGCTCAGCGATGGGGTCAATCCTTGACGGGCTGAAGGGTTTTAAGTGGTTGACCGCAGTCAAGGGGTTTTGAAACATGGAGTCTTAAACCCTGAACCTGAACCCTGAACCCTGAACCCCAATTAAACCCTAAATCTTAAACCTGAAAAAAGTCTCAGGAAACGTTTGCCGCAGGGGGCCCTTGGGGTGCAGGCAAAGATTGAAGGGATGATGTTTCATGAGCCCCTACAGGTCATGTAGGCCTTTTAAGGGCTGAGGTTAAGGGCGAAGTAGGGTTCAGGGTTTAGGGTTTAGGGCTAAGTAACGTTTAGAGTTGAGGGTTTAGGGCTCAGTAGGTGTTGGGGTTTAGGGTTTGCGCACCCATTCGTGGCGACACGGACTGTGGCAAGCTGAGGATGTCTGGGAATACGCCGTGCAGTGAAAGATGTGCTTACGTCACAGACCAAGAGCCACCCCAAACCCCCAAATGCCAAACCCCAATCCCTAAACCCCGAACCCTGCCCTAGATCAACACCTAAATTCGGAATAATTCCCAATAATATTCCCTTATGGCCCCTTTGTAATTGCCATAATAACCTCCAAGACCCTACTCTAATATGATTATAGTAACCCTCAAAACCCTACTCTACTGTTGCTATAATAACCCCCAAAACTCAACTCTAACATTCCTATCATCGCCCCCAAAACCCTACTCCAATGCTCCTATAATAACCCCCAAAACCCTCCCAAAACCCTACTCTAAAAACTACCATAATAGTAACCCCCCAAAACCCTACCCTAATGATTCCCTAAACCCTAAACCCTAAGCCCTAAACCCTAAACCCTAAACCCTAAACCCTAAACCCTAAACCTTAAACCCTAAACCCTAAACCCTAAACCCTAAACCCTAGAAGCCCCAAATGTTGCGCCTCCAGGCGCGGATGGCTGGAGACCACCGACTCCGGCGCAGTGATGGATGCCTTCGAGGTCACCGAGATTTTAGGGTTTTTGGGGTTTGGGGTTTAGGGTTTAGGGGCTTGGGGGTTTAGGGTTGAGGGTTTGGGGTTTAGGGATCTAGGGTTTTTGGGGTTCAGGGGTTTAGGGATCTAGGGTTTAGGGTTTTTAGGGTCTAGGGTTCAGGGTTTAGGGTTTAGGTTCAGGGTTTATGGGTGTAGAGGGTTGAGTTTTTGGGTTCAGGGGTTTAGGGTTCAGGGTTTTGGGATTCAGGGCTTTAGGGTTGTGGGTTTCAGGGTTTAGGGTCTTCGGGTAGGGTCTTAAGGGGGGAAAGTTTGCTTAAAGTGCACAGGTTTGGCGCTTGGGGTTGCGACGTTCTGAGCTCAACAAGCCAACGGTGGCATCGTGAGTCAGGTGGAACCCTGCGCCTGAAGCTCCTATTCTCGTAAGACCCTCAGCGCTAAGCTCCTAAAGCCCTAAACGCTGAAGCCCGAAGCCCCAAACGGACCTTGCCGTGAGTAGGGAATGAGGGAATTTGGTAACCTTACATCCCCTAAGAGGGGTTGTTCGGGTGACATAAGGTACCTACTTCCTCATTCCCTACGAAGAACGCCCCGCTAAGAATTCCCTACAAAGAACGCCCTACTAAGAGAGCCAGTAGGCAGAGCCAGACTGCCACTGGCAGCAGGTGTGCGACGCTGCCACGGACGAACCCTTGTCCAGTGAGCGCCGTGGACTTGGCCGGGTTTAGGGTTTAGGGTTTAGGGTTTAGGGTTTAGGGTTTAGGGTTTAGGGTTTAGGGTTGTTTACGTAGAGGGTTCGGGTAAACCCTAAGCCCTTGGACCACAACCTTCCCTAAAGCCCAAGCCCGGGTGTCTAGAATTTAGGGCTCTTGGGTGCTTGTAATTAAGTGGGGTGACTGGTTTCGGTATCCGTACGACAGGTACATCTAGCCCACTTGATTTGCCGTTAAACCCTAAACACTACCCTAAACCCTAAACCCTAAACCCTAAACCCTAAACCCTAAACCCTAAACCCTAAACCCTAAAGTGGTAGTCTACTCGAACTCAAGCCACAGGGACGGCCGCACTGGAGCAGGCCCTGATGCAGGCCAGAGGGTGCTTTGGGTTTAGGGTTTAGGGTTTAGGGTTCAGGGTTCAGGGTTCAGGGTTTAGGGTTTAGGTTTTTGGGAATAGCGTGCAGGCTTTGTTTGGGGTTTGAGGTGTAGGCTTTGGGGTTCAGGGTTCAGGGCGTGGGTGTAGGCTTTGGGGTTTTAGAGTGCGCCTTGGAGGTTGATGGATTGAAAGACTTGATAACTGGGGCTTGAAGTGGGGGACGCTAGAGCTGCCACTGGTTGACGCCTGTTTTGGGGTACTTATAACCCTACTCATCTACTCTTGAAGCATTTCAGCCAGGAGGCTCAACCCTAAACCCTAAACCCTAATCCCGATTCCCTAAACGGAGGGTGGGCTTTGGGGTGCTCGCGGCTAGAAGGGTGCCCGAAACCCCGCGGCCTCATGCCCTTGCATCCCCCACAGGCCTAACAACCAAGAGCCCTAAACCTCCCCAAGCACGGAAGCCCTGAGCCGCAAACCTGAATCCCCGACACCCCTAACCACGAAACCCCCAGACCCAGACTCTTAAACCCTAAACCCTCAACCCGCGCTCGGAGGCAATCCAGGCTCCCGCGGCACGCCAGGCGCGCGGTTCTGCTCCGCAAGTTTTCTTTCTCTTTGTTGGGGTTTGGGGTTTAGGGTTTAGGGTTTAGGTACCCTAAACCTAAACCCTAGCGTTTAGGGTTCATTTTCGGTCCCAAGCTCTCAGAATTACCCGCTCGTTTCCCAAGCTTCGAGCCTTTGGCAAGGCCAGAAAGCCTGAAGCTCGTGAGCCTAAACACCCTCAACCAAAGACCTGCGAAGCCCGAAACCCTAGGCCCTCAACCATAACCCAAATCCTACGTATGTGTATAATGATAACACATCGCCCCGAAAGACTCATCCTAACACCATAGGCCAAAATCAGCCCTAAGCCCTATGCCCGAATGAGATACGCCACTTTGTTGAAACCTTGAATGCGGAGACCTAACTAAACAGGCCCTTTTCAGGAAGTTCCCCCCAAACAGTGTGCCAACATTAAGCGTTAAGATTGGCTAGGTCGATGTAGGCACACGGCGCACCCGGGCGTCGCGTCTTCGAAGCTTCTTTTGCAACTTGGGATGTTTCCCCTTATACTAACACTCCTTAATGGGGATTATAGTGCCCCCATTATCATCCCCATTAAGGGTGCCCCTATCATCATCCCCATTAAGGATTGTTAGTATACGGGGGAACATCCCAAGTTGCAACTGTCATGGCTCTTGGACGTCTGTGATCGCCAAATGCAAGCCTGTCCGCGCTTTCCGACTTCTGGGCTGACTTGGTCTCGCACTTTAGGGTTTAGGGCTTAGGGTTTAGGGTTTGGGGTGTAGGGTTTAGGGTTTAGGGGCCGGCGCTGGCAGAATCTGCGGGAGAGAGAGGAGTGCCATGCTCAGGTGATGGTCGAGATCGATGGCCAGGCTGCCAGCGAGGGTTTTTGTGCTTCTGGTTTACATTAGAGACGGTGTAGGAAGGTGTCGAGGCGCTTTACCTGATCCCGGAAGCGTGAAGCCCCAGACCCGCTATGCGCCGAACCCTAAGGCCTACACCGGAAACCCGACCAAACCCCCAAACCCTTCTACGTTGATCGAACGACGCAAGTCCGACCGAACCTCGAACCTCGAACCCGAACCCCAAACCCCAAACCCCAAACCCTAAACCGCAAACCCCACACCCCAAACCCAAACCCCAAACCTCAAACCTTACCCAAAGCTTAAACCCTAAACCCTACACCCTAAAGAAGCCTAAAGAAGCCTAAAGAAGCCTAAAGGCCCCAAACCCTATTCAGGCGAGGCCCTGAAAACAGGGATGGGGCCCTGGCATTTGCCCTAGATTCCTTCCGAAGCTTCAGCTGTTCAGGGTATAGGGTTCTAGGGTTTCGGGTTCAGGGTTCATGGTATCAGGTTCTAGGGCTTAGGCGTTTTGGGCTTTAGGGTTTTGGTGGGGCGTATGTTTACATGCATGCATGCATGCATACATACATAATTCATATATACATACATACATACGTACGTACATACGTACATACATACATATGTACGTATATCTATATCTATATCTATATATATATATATTTTTGTTTTAAGAGTACACGGTTCTAGGGTTTAGCTTTCAGGTTAGGGTTTAGGGCTTGCAGCGTGCAGGGAATGTTTCTTGAGTCATAACCTGAGACCCGATAAGATGTTCGAGCAAGAAGCTCCTGACCCCCGAATGTTTTGGACTGCACCCTGCACCCTAAACCCTAAACCGTAACCCCTAAACCCCGAAAGCCTGAACCCTAAGAAAAACAGCCTGCCTGGGCAGGTTCCACAGCTGGACTGCTTCTTTGGCCTGCCGGCGGGAGGTGGACCCTAAAGCCTAAACCCCAAACCCTAAACCCTGAACCCTAAACCCTACATCTTAAGCCCTAAAACCTAAAACCTAAACCCTAAACCCTAAACCCTCAACCCTCAACCCTCAACCCTCAACCCTCAACCCTGAACTCTGAACCCTGAACCCTGAACCCTAAACCCTAAACCCTGAACCCTAAACCCTAAACCCTAAACCCTAAACCCTAAACCCTAAACCCGAAACCCGAAACCCGAAACCCTAAACCCTAAACCCTAAACCCTAAACCCTAAACCCCAAGCCATGCCAGGCTCCCTGCCGGTCTCCCTGGCAGCTGCGCGGGGTGCTTTGGTCGACGGGCCCTTCAAGGCCCTCTGCCTCAACCCTACAAGATACCCTAGGGTTGGGTTTAGGGTTTAAGGTTTAGGGTTTAGGGTTTAGGGTTTAGGATTTAGGGTTTAGGCTTTAGAGTCTAGGGTTTAGGCTTTAGGCTTTAGGGTTTAGGGTTTAGGCTTTAGGCTTTAGGCTTTAGGGTTGAGGGTTTAGGGTTTCGTTTTTAGGGCACCAAGTATACAAATAAGAACTACATTGGGGTCTAAAGTCTGTAATTAATACCTACTTTGGCCCGTTTGGAGCCTTAGGGTAAGCTCAGGGACTCGCGCCCCTTGAAATACAATGGCTTCTAGGGCGTTTCGGGGTTAGGGGGGTTTAGTTTAGAGGTTTAGTTTAGGGGTTTAGAGGTTTGGGAGTTTAGGGGTTTCGGGGTTTAGGAGTTCAACTTAACGCAGTTCGTTTCAGCTGCAATTCAGGAGTGTTTACAAAATCACCATAGAATCCCGAAAACCCATGAATCCAGAAGTTAAAAAGAATTAAATCCTGATTTAATTGTTGCTTCTGGGTTGGGTTTTGACCTACCTCGACATACCTTATCCCTACAAAAACACAATTAACTCGTGATGTAATTGTGTTTCTTTGCGTTTGACTGGAAGAAAATTAAATCGCGAGTTAATGGTGTAGCAAAGACTTGTGCGAATTGGTACCTGTTTGCACCATTAAATCATGATTTAATTGCACTATTTCCTATTACGATTAGTCTGATTATTACTATTACTATTAGTCTTATTATTACTATTAATATTCGTATGATTACTACTATTACTATTACTATTCCTATGATTATTATGTTTACTACTATTATTATCCTTATTCTTCTTATTATTATTTTTCTTATTACTATTACTATTACTTACTCTTACTATTACGAATACTATTACTATTACTATCACTATTACTATTGCTATTGCTATTGCTTTTGCTTTTGCTATTGCTATTGCTATTGCTATTATTATTATTCTTCTTATTGTTACTACGATTATTATTATTACTATTATTATTATTCCAATTATTCTCATTATTACTATTACTATTACTATTACTATTACTATTACTATTCTTCTTCTTATTGTTACTACTATTATGATTATTCTTATTATTATTCATATTATTATCATTATTACTATTATTATTATTATTCTTATTATTACTATTATTATTACTATTACTATTATTATTATTATTACTATTATTATTATTACTATCATTATTACGATTATTATTACTATTATTATTACTATTACTTTAGGGGGAACAATTAAATCATGATTTAATTGTTGAAAGGTAGGGGGGAACAATTAAATCGTGATTTAATTGTTTCTGCGGGTTGGGATCGTCTAGCAGAAACAATTAAATCCTGATTTAATTGTTTTCCTTGAGCAGCTTGCCGGCATGGCATGCTGCGTCGCGCGACGTTAACAGGCAATTAAATCGAGAGTTAATTGTGCTGGACCTAAGGGGCGTCGAGCCGGCCCGATGCCGGTCAATTAACTTCAGAGTTAATTTTCCTTAACTCTTGGATTCACTGTCTTCCATCCCGATTTCTAATTTCCCTCCTCTTAATGAGGTACATCAGTGCCCCATATGGCGGTTCCTTGTTCAGGTTAAAGGAATCTTCCTGAATTCAGAGGTGTTGGGGTGTCTGCGCGGGAGGTCGTTCTGCTGCGCGGGCTCGGTTTGCTCTAGGAAGTACTCCGGAACTGCGAAACTTCCAGCAAACTCTCAGGATATGAGGGTTTAGGGTTTAGGGTTGCGAGACATTCCCCAAAAGATCCCTAAGCACTCAGAAGTGGTGGCACCGTCAGCAAGAGTCTCCTGAAGGCTGAAATTCCCCGAGCCCTACATTATCCTAAGCCTTAATTAACCCCCCAAATCACTTGAAGCCTAAACCCTGAACCCTAAACGCTAAACCCTAAATCCATGGGAGGTCTCTGAGGCCCGCGAGGTCGGGCGTGCGCTGGTCTTCCGCGGCGAGCTGAAGGCAGGGTGTAGGATTTATCGATGGCGTGGGGTTTCCGGGGTTCACGGTTATATGGGAACATATACAAACATGCCTGTACATATTATATATATATATATGTAAAACTGTTGTATACCGATAGATGTGTATCTATCTATCTATCTATCTATCTACGCATCTATATATATATATATTCATACTCATATACCTCTCTCTGCTCGCCCTCTCTCTCTCTCTATATATATATAACTCATACACGAATTGTGTTTAGGGGTTAAAGCCTAGAGGCTTGGATGAGGTTTGCTATCGCAAGGTTTTAAACTGTATATAGGGCTTTGGCTGTTCACGCTTCGTTAAGAGACCTTGCTTGTGAGTACCCACGGGCCTCAAGTGCTAGGAAGCGCTCGACCCCATTTTCAAGGTTGTTTATAGTTCATCACAGGAGGGGTAAACCCTAAACCCCAAACCCGAAATCCTGACAACCCTAGGAAGCCTAAACCCTAAACTGCCCCAAACCCCGCACCCTTAGACCCACTTCAGCTTCCCTGAGACATCAGGGTTTATAGCTTTGGATAGGGGGCCCGTTGAAATTTAAACTGGGTATTTAGGGTAGTTTGTATCATGAGAGTGTGAGGATGATCGATTGTGGCAGTCGCCTAGGCTCCTGTATTGCAAGGTTCTGAAAGCCCCAACATTGAGCACGCGTAAGCACGCCTAAACTCTAGGAACCCAAACCCCAACCCACGGGAAACCCACAACCCTAGCCCTAGCGCCCTCGCGCCCAAACCCCAAAACCGACAAACCCAAAGCCGTAACCTCCTGGGCAGATATAAGGTACCTACATCCCGACTCCCAAACCCGAAGCCCCAAAACCCAAAACCCTAAACCCGAAATCCTTAAGTAGTTACTTCCCTAAGTAAGGTAAAGGCCATCCACCGCCACCCAGGAAGGCGTAGCCAACCTCGAGGCTATGGACGAATGCGCGCGGCGTCTCCGCCAGGTGCAACCCGAAACCCTAAACCCTAAACCCTAAACCCTAAACCCTAAACCCTAAACCCTAAACCCTAGACCCTAGACCCTAGACCCTAGACCCTAGACCCTAGACCCTAGACCCTAGACCCTAAACCCTAAACCCTACACCCTACACCCTAAACCCTAAACCCTCAACCCCCCCCCCCCCCCCCATGAAGCTCTCCCTGAGCCCAGCAAGCCCTGAAGTCTTCCGGTCAGCTTTGATGTCTCTAGTTTCAAGTCCTCAGTTCCAAACATGCAGCAAGCTACAGCAGCTCCCAAAAGGGTCGCCGAAGAGTGCTGAGTCCGTCCTAGACCCACCCCCCAACCCTCCGGCGTTCTGCACCTCTCAGGCATGCTGCTAGGTACTTTTTGTAGAAGCTGATGCCAGCCTCCAAACCAAAGTCCAGACACCAACTTGATCGCCCACGCCGTGCGGCTTCTCGAAGGGAGCCTTCCGACGCCTTGAAACCCTAAACCTGAAGCAAACCTTGGGATCTAGGCCCCAAGTCCTAAACCCTAAGGCGCTCAACCCAACGTTCAGCCCTCAACTGATCCTAAAACCGAAACTAGAACCAGAACGCTACAGATAGCACACGCGCATATTGATGTATGTCAGAGTTTGAGACGCTCCCTGGCTACCTGTGGGGTCGAGGTACTCAGGTATCGCTTCTTTCGGCTCGCGATTTAGGGCCGTGCAGTTTAGGGTTCTAGGGCCAGGGATTCGCGGAGACCAGCCTGCATGCAATGCTCGCACACGGACCGCAGGGTGATCGCCATAGCGCTGTCGCCATGACTCACGACGCTTTTGGAGAGCCAATGCCCAATCTTGCAATCTACCTGGAAGAGATCAAGTACTTCTTGGACGATATGTACGGTGGCCACTGGCAGTCAGTTCGATTGCTTCTGAAGCGTGCCGCGGACGCCTCGGAAGACCTTGTCCTGGAGATGCCGCAAAGCCAAACCTCTCAGGACATTGGCGAGGCTATCGAGTCTATGAAGGTCATCATAAGCAGGGGCAAGTGTCCGAGGTTCGTGATTATTGAGGCTCCGAGCCAACTGCAGCGAGACTTGATTTACAGCGTTGAGCGCCTGAGGTTCATGTGCAAAGGCACAGCGACCGTGTTTCCATATCCTTCGCTAACTGACAATTTCAAGCAAAAGCTTCGATCCGAGAAGTTGAGCGCTTCGGACATGCTAGAAGTCTTGTCGCCGTACTACGACTTTGTAGCTGAGCGTGAACCACAGTGGGTGTGCGCCGAGAAGTTCGCTCGATGTGCAATTATTGTGATGGTCTTCTCGAAGGGACAGGACGACTTCGTGTGGCACGTGTGGGATGCCGAGAATGAAGGAGGGCAGTGGGCTTTTCCTGGCGGTGACGTCAACCGCGTGTTTGATGTGGACTTGTGCGGAACTGCAGAGCGGGAGTGGAACGAAGAGGTGCTTGGGTTCGATTTCAACGTGGCCCGTGACAACTCGATCGAACCCATCGTCTTGCCATTTCTGGCCAGCAAGAGTGCTCGCTACCCTGTACAGCCCTACATATATGTAAAAGCGACGCCGGAATTCTTCGAGGCAACTCAGTCATCACAGGTTGAACGCTTCCGCTTCTCTTTACCGCCAAACGCTGTGTTAAAATCGCGAAACATGCAAGTTGAGGATTTCCGGCGCTTCCACACCGATCCCTCGGTGGCCTTCGTTGAGCATGAATGGGGTGCGTGGGCGAAGATTGAGATGGATGGCTCCCAATTCATCCCGCCAATTCACGGAGATGGTGAGTGTGGCCCTCGTGGCACGAAGGTGCGTTGGGAGAATGTGGCGGCGCTGCAGCAGCATTGGCCAGAATTTGCCTTGCCTTTGCTGGGCCGTTCGCATGCTTTGGGGCAGGTCAAAGGCAAGGGCTCAGGGGGAAAAGCAAAAGCACTTGGAAAGCGAAGCTTGCACCCGATGCAAGTTGGCGGGCAAGGAGTGCAAGCTTGCGGGAAAGGTGCTGGGAAGGCAAGCAAAGCTTGGCCGATCGTGAGAACCGGAGGCGGCGCTGAGCCTAAATCTCGTATCGCGCACATTAAAAATTGGCACCTGAAACCCCACGGCTGAAGGATTGCACCGTGTTGCACAGCAGTGCGGCTGTGAAGTAGTAAAGTTGTTGAAAGCAGAACTCAGAGGTCACAAAGGAGAACGCGATGCTGCAAAAGCAGCAGTGCCGTGTTTTTGGGCTTCGGGAACGAGGATGGAGTCCGAGAGACGTGCTAGGACTAGGAAGGATGAGCGGCATGTCGTGGAGTTCTCTCAGTTCCCTGTCAAGCTCACAGCATTCCAGCGTGCTGGCTTTGAGAAACCACGACCAGCGAACTCAAGTCAGCCTCGTGCTTCAAGCTGCCGACGTAGGAAGCACACCGGCACCGCACGCGACTACGTCGCACCCTTTAGCGGGCGTTCTGCGTGCAGAAAAGACCCGGGGCACGCCGAGGAGTGCACCGCTGCGCTCGTTCAGGGTGGCTTGCCGGGGAAGGGTTGCAGTAAGCCCAAGCTCATGCGGGCATCATGTGATTCCTTCTCTTGCGACCCGGGAGAGGGCTACTAGGTTTAGGCTTTCGGGTTTTGTAGAGAAAGTGCCAAGATTTGGACGGCGACCTTTGCGCACTTCAGGCCACCGTGAGCGAGGACGCCCCACCCGAAGTGAGCCCGAACCCCAGACTTTGCGCGCAACCTGAATTGCGGCCTGGGGTCTAGGGTTCTATGCCCGGTTCTGGGTCCCTAGGAATCTCCTAAATACCAGAACATCCCTAAACTGACAGCTGTCGAGGTGGATGTGGGTTTTTTGGCGTGCTGTTTGAAGAGCTTTGGAGGTCGAGGAAGGAAGAGCAGTGCACGCACGCACGCACGCTCGCTTGGCTCGCTCGCTCTCTCTCTCTCTCTCTCACACACACACGACAAGCGAAATGGCACAAACGATAGAAGAATCCCCGTGGCCACTCCCAACCAAGCCACTTCTCTGTTCCGTCCCCGCTAAGTAACCCCAAGCCCTAGGCCCTAATCCCAAACCCTCAGCCTGAGCCGAATCCGCAAACTCTACGACCCCTTAAGCCCTCAACCGCCACCAACCCCCCAAGGAAGCAATGCAGCACACCACCGGCGAGCAGTCGATGACTGGGAGCTCGGGCCTGAGGGTTATAACAACCTCAGATCTTCGGCGAGCCGCAAAGCGCGCCTCAAAGCTAGTGGACTAGACGGCCTACAGCTCCCCAAGGGGTGTGGGGGGTTGGGTGGCCTCATTTCGAGCCCCTAGCCCCGTTAAACAGACCCGGCCCGAACCTGATGAATAATCGAAATCCACCTGTGAGATTCCATGGGTAAGCAGTTCTCTAAACTAGGGTCCCCTTGAGGGCTACCCTTACAAGGCGGCCCCTAATATGTAGGGTACCCAAAGAAGGCACCAACATCTTGAGAACTGACCCAGATGAACCGTGACCGTGAAGCCGCAGGCCCGCCAAGCTTCTAAGTCCAGCCTCCCCCACACTTGAAACCCCCAAAACTTCGAACCCCCCAAACACCCCAAGTCGACCATCCTGAGTCCCTAGAAGCCTCAAACCCTCAACCCTAAACCCTATAGCCCTGAGCCCTAAACCCCGATTTTCTCGGACCTTGGAGTCGCTGCACGCCCCCCTCTCTGACCTGTGAGGTGCCTGCTGGTCCGGGGCAAGACCTCGCCGCTGCTCCTCTGGATACCCTTGAAGGACCTGGCAAAGGACCGCGCCGCCACCCCCCCCCCTGCCACTGGCTTAGGCTTTAGGGTTGAAGGTTTAGGGTTTAGGGTTTAGGGGGCTGACGCTTTGCGGGGCGGAGTGCAAAATCCTAAGCCCAAGGCAACTCCAGCGTTGCTAACCTGAATTCCTCAACCCTGGGCCCTGAACCCTTAGCAGAGGAGCACCATCACAGCAATTCTTTTTGGGGGGACCCTGGACTTCGGGTTCAGGCACCTCAAAGGTCCGGGTTTCGGGTTGAGTTGAATCTGTTTTTCAGTTTATGCTCAAGGACCCTCAGCCCTAAACCATTGAGTGTTTTTTACCGTTGCTGCTGCTACTACGGACTATTACCACTACTACTATCACTACCACTACCGCAAGGGCGACGACTTTATATTCCGGGTGGCTGCGCGGGTCAGTTTGGTAGGGCTGGACTGCGAAAACCTCAAGCCGTAGTTTCATGACCAAACGGGTATGGGCCCTTTGGGGAGTCGCACTGTTTTTGTAGGTTCCTTGTAGTTCAAGGTGCCGACAAGGGCCCATGATTCAAGTCTACCCCCTCCCCCCCACTTATCGAACCTCTTGCGAAACCCGTGTTTCAAGCTTCATCCTACACCCCCCCTGAGCCCCAAGCTCGAAGCTCCAAACTCTAATGCGCTTGTGTCGCAAGGAGCTCGATCCGATGTTCGACCAGCGGCTTTTCTTTCTGCTCACGACGTTGGCGACGGTTGTCTGTGTCCAGGTCGGCACGGCCTGTTCACGAGCTCGGGTTTTCATAAACCCTAAACCTTATGTAAACTTTAAACCCTGAAACCCTAAACCCTAAACCCTAAACCCTAAAACCCTATAAACCCTAAACCCTAAACCCTAAATCCCTAAACCCTAAATCCCTAAACCCTAAGCCCTGATTGGGGTGTAGGGTCTTCTCAGCACGTGCCCTGAATCGGTGGGGGCTTGCAGCGTTTGCAGCCCCGGCCTTTGTCTGAGCTTTCCACCCAAAGAGCTCGCCGAGCTCTCTCCTAAAGAGGGTTGAGGGTTTAGGGTTTAGGGTTTTGGGTTTAGGTTTAGGGTTTAGGGTTTAGGGTTTAAGGGTTTAGGGGTTCAGGGCGGGTTTAGGAGCTTTTTCAGTCCTGGGAAGAGCGCTGGGTCAAGAGCACGTGAATTCCGAAGCCTTACAAACCCCACACGAACTAACCCCAAAACGTAAACCCCCAAAATCCTGAACCCAAACACCCCAACCCCAATCCCCAAACCCTAAACCCTAAACCCCAAATCCTAAACCCCAAAGCCTAAACCCTAAACCCCCCCCCCTTGTGCAGTATGCCGCACCGGAGCCGGGGTTGAACCCACCCATCGGGGCGCTGCTGTGCGGCTCCCAAAGTGAGAGGTTTGGGGTTTTGGGGGTTTTCGGGTTTAGGGGTTTAGGGATTTAGGAGTTTAGGGGTGTAGGGGTTGAGGGGTTTAGGGGTTGCAGGGGCTTCAGAAATTTCAGGATTTCTGGTTTGGAGTTTAGAGTACCGAAGAGATTTCCAGCAGGGGAGTTGTGGGGGGCAGGGTGGGGCAGGGTGTTTCGGCAGTGGGTTCAGGGGCTCTAGGGCAAGCTTCAGGTTTGAGGCCTGGGGCGGATAAGCGCGTTATAGGGGCTCTTGATGCGGTCCCGGCTTCTTATGCCGCAGCTGTAGGGCTTCCTTGAAGGTTCCTCGCCAGCAGCAGGCCAGACTGAGGCTAAACTTTGGCCCCAAGCCAGAAGACTCCGAACTCTGAACCCTAAGCCCGTATCTTAAACCCGAAACCCCTAACAGATGAACCCCTCAACCCTAAACCCTAAACCCTACACCCTACACCCTACACCCTACACCCTACACCCTAAACCCTAAACCCTGAACCCTAAACCCTAAACCCTAAACTCTAAACCCAAACCCTCAACCCCGAGCTGACTTAAGCCGCACCCAAGGCTGAGCATCATCGGCGCTGCCGAGATCTCGCGCCGGGGCCTCATGTTCTGCTTACTGGGGGCTTGTGGGCTGGGTGCAGTGGGTTGAGGGTTTAGGGTTTAGGGGTTTAGTGTTTAGGGTTTAGGGTTTAGGGTTTGAGGTTTGACCCCTGCAACAGCAAAGGCCACCCGTCAGATGACATTTCTCTTGCGAGGCATCTTGAGGCATCATGAGGCATCATGGCTAACCCAGGTTCTGCAAAGCCCAGAGCTACATTGGTGAACCCGTACAGCCACGAACCCAAGGAACACCTACAAAGCCTCCAGGCCCGCCCTAAATCCCATGCTCTAAATCCCTGAACCCCAAACCCTAAACCCTAAACCTTAAACCCCAGATTCCTGAAGCCCTAAACCCTAAACCCTAAACCCCAAACCCTAAACGCTAGGCCCTAAACTTCGGGGGTCTCCGGAGGTCGGTGCACAGCTGACAGACTCGGCGTGCGCTTAGGGCTGCCACTGTCCGGCGGCCCAGAGGTTACTCGGGGGTTAGGGTTTAGGGTTTAGGGTTTAGGGTTTAGGGTTTAGGGTTTAGGGTTTAGGGTTTAGGCTGTGAAGGTTAGAAGTTGGAAGAGAGGCGGCCTTCCAGTGCTTCATAAAAGTAAGTGAGGTGCAGTTATGGCCAAGGGATGGAGACTCGTACCTCTAAGGTTGTACCCCTAAAGTTTCCCGTCAATGTACTCCTTATATGGCCCTTATACTACCTTAAGTATCTTCAAAAAGGAACCACCCTCACCAATTCCTTTTTAGGATTTAAGGCCTAAGTTCAATTTAATGGTGAGTCCGTGGGTGGACTTACAACCCACATTGGCTTTTTGAGCACTCTAAACACCCTCCGATTCCGGTCGGGCCACCCGGCCTAGGGGCCTTGGCCCCCTGTCCCCAGTTTGAGAAACACCTGTAGAGTTCACTTAAAGGCCTGCGGCTTAACGGCTTGAAAAGTGTGTGTTGAGCACACTGTTCGGAGTTTAAAGGTTTGAGGGCTTGACTTAGCGTCCTAGACCCTCGAACCCTGAACGGGCTTGAGGGGCTCAGGGTGTAGGGTTTGGGGTTTTGCGGCCCTTTGGCCCTCAACCAAAAGCCGATTTGGACTGAGAATCCTTGGTGCAGGTGCATGATGCATGGTCCAGGGCTTGATTTCGGGGTTGGGGGGCTTGGGCTTAAACGCCTGGATACTAAACCCCTGAGAAGTCCAAAGCAACTGAGGGCCGACGTCACCCCCGCCACACACACACACACACACACACACACACACACACACACACACGCACGCACGCACGCACGCACGCACGCACGCACGCACGCACGCACGCACGCACGCACGCACGCACGCACGCACGCACGCACGCACGCACGCACGC